AAGAAGCCGACCACGCCGCTGGGGCTAAGGCCAAACTTTAAATCAGGCGTCAAGCAGTCATCTTGATGGGCAGAAATTAGAAACCAATCCCCTTGCGCTTTTCTCAAGGAATCCTCTTTGGATGTTCTTGGCTGCGTATGCTTCTTTGGGCCTCCGGCTGACCCAGTTTGATTTCAACGTGAAGCGCTGAGAATTCAGGAGATTCAGGAGCCGGCACGACGTTGGCCAATGTTACAGTAGTTTCTCGCGGCATTCGTGAATGCGCTAAGGATGCCATCATCCGCGGCGTTCTCTTCGTGCCGCTCTTTACCAAGTTCTTGACGCAGATGCATCGGGACGCGCTGACAGCGAATCCCGTCTGCTGGCTTGAAACGAGACAGTTTCCAGCCGGAGCCGGTATGGATGTAGCCATGCATGCATATTGTGTTTCCCTGCTAAGGCTCCAATTACCAAGTTCTTTGGCTCCAAGCCGATGGCCACCCTCGGTTCCATCGCCTTCCCGATGTTCATTCTGCATCCTGCCTTCGTTTCTGCGTTGTCCGTTCCCGCACTGCAAGCGGTGCTTGACGCTGCTTCGTGTCGAGGCATGGACCGATTGGCCAGATCTTCTACAAGAAGGCGCAACTTGACTGGCATGGCATTGCCAAGCACTGACGCAGTTGCAGGTGCTCGCGAAAAAGTTGTGGGGCGGACCCATGTCCACGAGATTCTTCCCGCTACTAAGCCGCAAACAGCCAAGCTGGCGTGGCAACCACGCACGGGCTTCGATGAGATCTTCGTGTTGACACGGGCAGGATTTATCTCGCCATCTGCCTTGGCATGAGCCACCTCACCAACGACGCTCGGAATCAGACACACACACACACACACACGCGCGCGCGCACTGTTGATCGAGAGGATGATGCATCAGTCCAACAGCAAGCCATGACGTGATCGCCATAGCACGAGTCTTTTTAGACGCGTGAGCTTTTAGGAATATTTCGTCAAGAACAAGAAGGTGGGCGCCATTGCTGGAAAGGTGGCCCAAGTTTTGGCGAGCTGGACTGAGGGCATGCTGCGCGATCGTGCGTAGGTTTCTGTAATTTGAAATTTCTTAATCACTGTGAGAAATGCTGTGCATGAGGAACAGGGGGCTCAAAGCCGTACTGATGCTCGTGCAAGGCACTCCGGCACAAAAGGTCCATGGCGTTCCGAAGATTTGGCAGATGCCAATTTTGGATCAATCGTGCCTCGCACCTGGCTCTGGTTCGCACGGGGAATTTGTACAGGCAAGCAAGTTCATTGCTCATACCTGGAGCAAGATCTGGTTCCAGACCACGCACATTCTGCAAGTTCCGGCAAAGACCTGCGCGTCAACTTTCAGTCATGATGTGATTTCTTGTGAGGCGTAGCAGATCTGCCTATGTGTTCTCCGGGCCACGCTTTCTTGTGCGCTTATTCTTATTCTGTGGCTCACAGCCTTCATTCGAGCTATCCCAAGCCAAGCCGCCGCAAGACTGCCAGGGACTTGGACCATTGCATGTGGCGTGGGAGCAGGCATGCCGCAGCACGCAGGCATGGCACATGCAAAACACAGGTGGCCGACATGAGCGCAACGCAGAAACTCGATGCCTCTTGGCGGCAGGGAGTGCCCGGGGATGCCCCAGAATCGGAAGCTGCTTCTTTCCTGCCAGGCTGATGCCAAGGCTATGGCCACACCCGCGGACTCCAAGCAGGAAGTCAAGCCGGTGAAGGCCCACCGGCGTACCTCAGGAGAGAGTGCCGCATGTGGTTGCATGATCGCGAAAGCCTCACACGTGCTGTCCGAAGTCAGATCATGAGATCGAGCGTTGTCATGCGCTGTCTTGATGGAGGTCTCGAAGCCTCGGATTGACTGCATTGACGGCTGCCGCTTCGCATTGGTCTTCCCCATCGTCATTGCGCACTTCGCGAGGTTCGCTAGGGTGGGTTGTACTGGCACAGCTGCGACAGACTTGCACAGCTCGCTTCTTCATTATTCGTGTCAGGTTCGGCACCAGCAATCTGACGGCGCTGAAGCTGCTGACGCAGGAAAACGTGCTCGTGGGAGGCTTCTTCGTCATCTCAGGATATGCCGCGGTCCTAAGAATCGCCGACAGCAGACGCTCTGAAGGCTCTGTGGGAGTCGTCGTTGCGACCGAGGTGTCTGCTTACACCTCCACGAAGCTTGGCGAGCGGAAGGCGGAAGACAAGAAGCTGGCCAACCCAGAGCTCTTCTTCTGGCAGAGGGTCGACCTCTCGTCAAGTTGCATTGCAGTGAGCTGCGCGCGAAGCCTTGAGCAAGAAAGGTGATGGCGTACTATCCGTTGCACTTCGTGATTTCCTGCCTCTTCGCCCCGATGTTCATCCAGGTTGAGAGGCTGGGTAAGAAGTGCGCCCGTGTGTGCTGTCCTTGTGGCTGGGGCAGTCGGAGGTGGTACAACACTCCCTGGACCACGACCGCCTTCCGTGCCTTCCTGAACTTCAGCATGCTGCAGGCAGCCGTGCAGTGGCAAAGCTCCGCCGAAAATGCTCGGAAACGCTGGAGTCCCTTTGGCCAGGCTTGGTTCCCCAAGGAAGCAGAGATCTGGAATCAGCCCACCTGGTTCCGGACCCAGCAAAGGGGGCAACAGGTTTCTTGAGGCCGCTTCCTGCCATGAGCAGGTTCTTGTCGGCCCTGACGTTCTCGAACCTCACCATGCCGACGCTGGTGCTGCCGCAGGTTGCGCAGCTGTCCAAGAACGGCCCCTCGGAAGATTTCGGAACGAGGTTTTGCAGGGCATGTTTTGGGCATCGGCAATGGCAGTGGCAAGGTCTTCAGAAGCTCTTCGCTGCCTTGACTGGCATTTCGCTCCTGCAGAAGGCTTCGAGCTTTGAGAAGCAGCAGCCCTGGCGCAAGCCCCCCCGCGGCAGGTCTCTTACTCGGAGACTGCCCGCTTCCACAGCAGCAAGGAGCACCCGGTGCCTTGGCTGAGATTGGGGATGTGAGTGGGCTCTGTGTGCAGTTGTGCTCCTGCGGCACCCTGAGATGCCCT